GGGGTAATATGATCTTGAAAGTTCATAAGGATGAATGCAAAATGCTAACGCCTCATTTGGCATGTGATAATGGAGTCAAGTGAGAATGAAATGGTGGAAGAAATTGAATGGAATGAATGCAGGAATGGAATGTTCATTCTTATTCTCATGTTGTGTGCGCGTTTGTATAATGGAGTTGGGATAACAATTATTCCTATTCCATGTTTTGTATCATTTATTAAAAAGTGAGATGAAATTTTTAATCCAATAATGCCCTTATAATAAAATAGAATTTTAAAAACATAAAATAAACATTAATAATAATGAATAAATAATTTCATTTTTTTAAAATAAGCTTTACAAAAATAGTCAATCAGTTTTTCCATGTACCTGCAAGTCTATGGAACATCAAATGTCTTCATTCCCGAAGTACCGATGGAGATTGCTTAGACCCCTGGTTTCCGGATTCCACCGCCTATGATGACGAAAGCGAATCGAGACATTCTGTTGATGGCTTGTAAAGCTTCACGTCCTGATGACCTTATAAACTCGTCAGTCCTCCTTTGGTCCACTCCGGCCGAACAGATAACTGGTGCCTCTACGTTGAGTCGAGCCTTTGACGCTTCCGCTCCCTCTCTCACGCATGAACCAAGCTTTCCCTCATCGAGTTTATCTTCGTCCTAGCAGCTCTTCTCTTTCTTTCCTGACGGCCCGTTACGTTTTGTTGGCGTACTTTTGTAAATCCATTCAACGGGAGGGAGGGGGATCCTACTACAAGGGGGCTTGTTGCTTGTGCAATCCCTTGAGTAAGGTCGAACAATTTACTAGACTTCGGTTATTGCTTTCTTTTTGCTTATGCGCCTTACTAGGTATTCAAATGTCGCTATGTGAGTAATACATTATCCTTTTTAGACCATTTCCTATCCTATTTTGATGATATTGTATTGTTGGTACGTAGACCGTCTCTCTCGTCTACTACCTTTCCCAGATATGATGGCTTCTTTTGGTCAAAGGTCCATTACCGACCATGCAAACTGGCAGATTGATGCTTCAGCCAGGATATCTGCTAATGGCAACCTCAAATGTCGGGCCATGTCTCACTTGTTTGTTGGCCCCCTTATCTTAATATTAATGGTGATGTTTTGGCTTCGAAGCATACTAAGCCTTTCCTTATCTGTTGATTCAGTGACATAGATCAACGCTGACTTGACTTGACTCCATTCTTGCAGATAAGCCTTTCTAATTTTTTTATGCGAAGGGAGATGCGAGATAACATGGTAGATTCAGCCCAGTAGTGTCAATAGTCTCGAAAAGGGTGCCATAGCTTTTTCTTTCTACACCTGCATCTTCGACTCAAGCTTTGTTAGTGACAACAAGGTTCCGAAGGAAAAACGACTGCCTTTCTCACCAGTGGGCAAGTCTGATTGATCCAATCACGACGAATGATGTCAACCCCATCTTTTGTGCCTAACTTGACTCTGATTCCCCTACTATGAGAGCTGATCCAGGGTCCCGTCCGGCTACTGAATTTACGAAATCCTGCCTTTCCGACTCAATGTATTGCCCTTTGGGACCAGGATCTGACGAGGAAGTGAGAGAGGGGACACCAAACATAGGTGCGTACCATTGCCCCAATCCAATGGACTATGTCATACAGGGAACAACCCATGGAGGTTGGGACAGAAAGAAAGCTGGTTTTGCTTCTGCTTCCTTCGAGCTACCAAACTCTTTCGTCAGTCTCTCGTCAGGTGTGGGTCAAGTTCCCTCATTCTTGCTTGACTTCCCCTTTGGGGCACGAAAAGATGACTACGACTTAAGTAAGGGAGAGGACAACCCCTGTTTCTGGCTGGACTTCAATGAGTGAGTGCTATTCCCATTCCTGACTTTGGTCCGACCCGACCGGACCTTCTCTTGTTCCCCGAATCACTCCTGCTCTTCCATCCGTTTACGAATACCGTCCTGTAAATGGAGTTGCCTGCCCTGTCTGTCCTGGCTAGCGAAGTAGGCTTTCCCTCCTTTAGTTCAAGAGTTCCGGAAGTTCAAACTCAACAAGAAAATTATATCCAGTGCAATGCAAACAACTTTGATTAGTAAGTCTTTGCTTCGGCGAATTGCTTTTTTCCTATATTTTTTGTTGAATTCTCTCTGGTAGAATTGCTGTACATGATGATGAAAAAAAAAAATGATCTTTTTTCTTCTTTTATGAAAATGCATATATACGTTGGGATTTTGCCTTTGATCTTTTGTATAACTTTATAAAAGTTAGATAGAATTAGATGTCTATCATGATTACGAGACTAAGTTTCATCACGATAAGGAGTTCATATCCTATTCTATTTAGGAAGTTAAGCTAGATAGGGTTTTGGTTTTCCAAATAATATTTTAGTTTCTATATATATAGTCATCTATTATTAGAGGAAAATCAAGAAGGAGGAGGGAGCCACTAATCTAGCTAGGGTTAGCAAAGGGCATATCCGGATTCAAGAATAGTGTGAGAGAGGACAGAGTTTTGTAATCTTTGTCCACTCAAAAGATTACAACATTGTGGGAGGTTTCACAGTCTTTATACGTTCAAAAGATTATAATGAGAGAGTTTCGGAAAGAATATGAGATGTTTATTATGTACGTGAGGTTGAGAGATTGAGATATGAGAAATATGTAGTTCCTCTTGTAGTTCTCCCTAATACATAGTGAATTTTCTCGTATTGTGCCTCGTGGATGCAGGTCAAAGTTGGTCGACTGAACCACGTCAATTTCGGTCTTCTTCTTCTTGATTGTGAGTGTTTTCTATCTTGTTGAGTGTGGATAAATTTTTGAATTGCAAAGATTGTAGTAAGTGAGGGGGCTAAAATCCCCAACAACACTGCATGTTTTTTGTTAACACACACTTGAATTTTTGTTAAGAATATTTTTAATTTCTAATTAATAGAAAATTAAGGAAAAATAAATGAGATGTACTTCATGTTTCATAGGTGAGAAATTAATATAAATGATGATATCCACAGTCAAAAAGTTCTAGAGGTATAAAATAACTCATTCGACAATTTATGAAAATCATCCAAGTCAAATATCCATAAAATAATACTAACTAGATACTTACACAACTAACAAGTATCAAAATAATAAGTTTTGAATTAGTAAAATGATAAACTAACCTATAGCTTCAATTTGCCAATGTAAAATTGCTGATATGTAAAATGCTAATGCTCAGTCAATGTGGTCGTATCTTTAGATTTTTATTTTTTTTGTTATCAATGGTGATATAGCTGGACATTATGTAACTAATTTAATTCCCACTTAAATGAAAATGATCATTCCTTATCAACTCAATGGGAATGCTCGTTTCCCACAAAAAGTGAGAATGAACATTCTTTGAAAATAGGCATTTCAACTTCTAAAAAGTTGTCATGTTTAGTATGCGGAAACGGGAAGTGAGAATGACCATTCCATTCTATGTTGTTCCCACATACCAAAAGATGCTTGAAAGTTCATGGGAGTTTAGTATAATTTACCCCTTTTTTATTTGCACATTCGCAAGGTTCATGAGTGTTATGTGAGATAAATAAAGTTCAGGGTGTTATATGAGAAACCTGCCAAAGTTCATAGGGTTTTTGTTAGACACCACAAGTTTCAGGAGTGTTTATGTGAGATAGATAGAGTTTAGGGTGTTATACGAGAAACCTGCCAAAGTTCAGGGGTTTATGTGAAATTAACCCCTAATGAACACAACATATTTATACTGAAGGATAATAATGTAAATAAGCAGCTGAATGAAGGGCAATTGCGACCTCGCTTAATTTTCAAAGACCCCGGCACTTCTGTAAAGCCACCTCCCACGTTCTCCTTATTATTTGTTTCATTTTTTTTATTTTATATTTCAAGTATTTATCATCTTTTATGTAACACGCATTTTCATTATTGTTTTTATAGATGATTTCTCTTTTGTCCCTATATAAATCTCCCAAGTGTTCTTTCTCTTGGGACAGTTCTCCTTCTCTCTTCTCTTTCTCCCTGTCTCTCTCCCTAGAACCAGGAAGCCATTTTTTTTAAAATACATTGTAAGTTCTCCTCAAAGCTTCAATTTTCTATCTTTGTCCAAAATTTGGTATCAAGAGTTGATCTTTACGGCTTTATGGTTTCATTAGTATCAACATTTGCTATGTATGCAAATGGGTCTCTGTTCTTGTTTCTAAATTAAGATCGGAACTCTGGAGTTCATTTTAAAGAAATCCTCCTTTTGTTCCATTTTTTGGTTAAATGGGATATATTCCTGATGTGGGTTTGATATTTGAAGTCTTTCTGCTGTTTGGTTGCATATATTTCTTGTATTTATTACATGTTGTTTTAAGTTGCATATTTCTTGGATTAATTACATTTTTCTTTAAAAAAAATTCACTAGATAAAGCTTTCCTCTTTCCCGTTCATTGTTTGGTAGCTGCTCGTGATCTCACTGATATTAGAGGAAATGTGAAAGGCAGTTTGTTTTTTTTTTGTAAACATACATTAGTTATTTTACGAAAATCTTTTATAGGATTCAGATACTAATTTACCTATATTAGTATCTAATTTCATTGCCTTGTCCACTTTTGGATATTTTGCTTGTCGGCACCTATGCTTCCAATTTTTAGTATACATTTGAGATTTGTCGCCAAACGCTGACGGCCCGACGCTAACCAAAATTGTGGGAAGTTTCTCAACAAAATAGTGTTGGATTACCCAAAGATAGTTTACTACTTGTTTGGTTAGGACTCGAGATTTAAATGACTATATTTCCAGAGATATAATCAATTTGTTTGTTGAATCGCCATGACATGTTCATTACTAATAATATATCAGTAAGATACAAGATTTATTTAGTTTTTGATTTATTCTCCTTAGATATATAGCACATCTTATTATTTCAATCGTTTTAGTCAATGTAGCTCGCTAGCCTGTGCCTCATTTGTTCTTGTGTTGTTGAACGATATTCACAATAATGATGCAAATTATCTATCAAAAAGGAGAATCTATTGTTATTTACACATTTTTAATGGGTGGGTCTCCCTCTTTCCTTTCAAACATCTCATTATGTCAGTTCCTGAATACAGGTCTGTGCCCGAATCAAATATGGGGACTTTGCAAGTTCTATGTTTGGGCATTTTATTCTTATTACCAGCATGTTCAATCAGGGGAAATGCTGAGTATATAAAATATAAGGACCCTAAACAGCCCGTTGGTGCTCGAATAAAAGATCTAATGCAGCGGATGACCCTTGCTGAAAAGATTGGTCAAATGACTCAAATTGAGCGCAAAGTTGCATCACCGCAAGTCATGAAAGATTACTTCATAGGTATTAACACCTCAAATATCAAGTGATTGAAAATGTAACTTCATTTATCGATTATGACATTATGTTATGTTTATATATGAGATGTGTTTCAGGTAGCTTATTGAGTGGTGGGGGAAGTGTGCCTGGTCCTCAGGCTTCAGCAGAGGCTTGGGTGAACATGGTAAATGATTTCCAAAAGGGTTGTCTTTCGACGCGTTTAGGGATTCCTATGATTTATGGGATTGATGCTGTTCATGGTCATAATAATGTCTATGGTGCTACTATATTCCCTCATAATATTGGACTTGGTGCTACACGGTGAGTTATCTTGTATGATTAGATGCAAATCGGAGTGTTATTCGGTATTGATTTCCTGTAGATAAATACTGAGGATGGATGATTTTGCAATGTGCTTATCCATGGCTTCATGTTCTACTTGCAACTCAATTAGGCACTAAATTCCATGAGATTTTTTCATGACTAAACAATGCTTGGGAATTGATATATGCTCGTTACTGTTTTTTGTAGTGATTAAACTAGGAATTGATCTGTGCTTGTTCCTGGATAAAAAATGAGTGCATCCATAGGAGATGAGATGTTGCCTCTATCGAGGATAATATGAGATCGAATCTATTGAGATGGTTTGACCATGTACAACGGAGGCCAGTAGATGCATCAATTACAAGAATTTGTTAAGATAGTTGGTGGAGTAAAGAGAAGTAGAGGTAGATCCAAAAGAAGTTGTTTAGAAACAATTAAGATGGATATGATAATAGGAGGAGATGACTCATAGCCATAATACATATGAATGGAAGACTAGGATTCATGTATCCGGCCTCAAAAATTTGGGATAAAGGGCTACATCGCCGCGCTAAATTTGAGTTTTTAAACAAATCTGTCTTAGAGAGTAGTGTTTTATTTCAAAACTATATAATTTTCATCTTGATTAAGCTTGACCATACATTGCGCAATTGAAACTTCAAATGGGAAATAAAGATTGATGTGTCATTTGTCAAAACCTAGTCTTATTATTGGCTAAAAGCTTATCGCCTAAAAGAATGCTTCCATTTTCTCAAAGCTGAGGCATTTACTGCTCATGCTTTCTTACTACTTGAATCCTCTTAAATGACAGGGATCCTGATCTAGTGAAGAGAATTGGTGCTGCAACGGCTCTTGAAGTCAGGGCAACAGGCATCCCTTATGCTTTTGCTCCATGTATTGCGGTAAACAAATCATATATCAATTTACTGCTCCATTGCAATCTGATTAATTCTATATAGAATTTTAAGGAATTTTTTTCTAGTTTCTTTTTTCGTCAATAATAATTGAAGATTTGCTTGGTCCTTCAGGTTTGCAGAGATCCAAGATGGGGCCGGTGCTATGAAAGCTACAGTGAAGATCACAAGGTTGTCCGAGCCATGACAGAAATTATACCTGGTTTACAAGGAGACGCTCCAAAAAATTTTAGGGGTCCTTATGTTGGTGGAAAGTAAGTTACAACAACCTTTTTTCAGCTGTAAAGGGAAAAAAATAGGGTTAATTGCACATAGACCCGCTGCAGTATCCCTGTTATGAACTTACTATTCCTGTAGTAAGTTGTCGCAGATAGATTCCCTGGTTAAATTTTTTTTACTCTTTACTCGGATAGACGACTAATTTCACCCAGGGGCAAGATTTGCCAAACTTTCACCAAGGGTAAAAGAGTCAAAATTTTAACATGGGTCAATCAGCAATAATGAAACTACAAGGATAGTAAGCTTCCCAAAAATAAAAAATAAAAAAAAATCACGGGTGTCATTATGCAATTAACTCAAAAAGATATTGTGTTTATATTACTGATATTCCCCTAAGATCAATTGATATTCATCTAATGGTGCATGTCTTTGGCACAGAGACAAAGTTGTAGCTTGTGCCAAGCACTTTGTTGGTGATGGGGGTACACACAACGGAATCAATGAGAATAATACTCTCGTTGATCAGCGTGGACTCTTCAGTATCCATATGCCTGCTTACTATGACTCAATTGCTAAGGGTGTCTCCACTGTCATGGTCTCTTACTCAAGCTGGAATGGTGTCAAAATGCATGCCAATAGGAATTTGGTAACCGGTTTTCTTAAGAACAAACTTAAATTTAGGGTAAGTGAACTGAGATTTGGTTGTAGGTTGTATAATGGATGTTATGATGTTCTAGTAATCGTTGTTTGTCGATACATTTTTCAGGGATTTGTGATTTCAGATTGGCAGGGAATTGATAGGATCACTAGTCCACCTGGTGCAAACTACACTTATTCTGTCCAAGCTGGAGTTAATGCTGGTATTGATATGGTTAGTACCTCTTTCTATGTTGAACTATGCACCAAACAACTGTTGAGAATAGGGGTGCAAACAAGAGTGGATAAGGATATCGGTCGTACATTTTATTTGTTTTCTTTTCGCCGATATACATAGCTATATAGATGTTCTTCATATATGGAACTCACTGTCCACATTCGATCAAAATGATTTGAGATTTAATTAGATCATATCCATATGCTAACCAGATGTTATTAATTACAATCAAAGTGCTCATGGAACAATGAGTTCAAGTTTCAATTTTAACATATATTCTAGTAGAAAAAGTCCTTTATGTTGGCATTACATGATACTAAACAGGCCTAATTAACATCTGTACTTGCACATTTGGATGTCTATTAAGATATGTCGGTTGCCGGTTGGTATAATACTGTCGATACATGTATCTGTATTTTGAATGGGTATTAATGCCAATGTTTATGATTTATCTACAAGTAAGAAGCTCAATATGGATTGAAGTTATTGAATCCTCTTGTATTCCTAATCGAGATCATGAAAAAATTTAGGGACAATGCCCTTTCTTCCAAATAAATAAACAAAGCTGCTGAAAGAGATCAACCTTATTTTCCCCTTCTGTAGCCTTTCCATAATAAGTGGATATTTGAATTGATTTCTGCGTTCAAGGTAAAATGTGTTTAAAAAGTATAGGAGATCTATTCCTTCTCCAGACCACAAAATTATTATGCAATTGTAGTCAGACAAAAGTCAAACTCCTTTCATTTGAAGTAACGAATATATGCTTTGCATAAAGAGCTTATACTATACCATTTCGAATTTCTGACTACTGCAATTTAATTTGTTTATTTCTTTTCTTATACTTTGGTGTGTGTTACAGATAATGGTTCCTAATGACTACACTGAGTTCATCAACGCGCTGACCACTCTCGTCAACAACAAAGTGGTTCCAATGAGCAGAATTGATGATGCTGTAAAAAGAATTCTTCGTGTGAAATTCGTCATGGGTCTCTTTGAAAACCCTCTTGCTGATCTTAGTTTGGCTAACGAGCTTGGTAAGAAGGTAAATTTCTCTCACCGTCTCTTCTCATCTTACATAGCTTCTTCTGTTTTCTTCTCAAAAACTTTGTTAAGATATCTGTTGATGAATATTTCTGATATTTTAATACAGGAACACAGGGAGCTAGCTAGAGAAGCAGTGAGGAAATCACTGGTGCTGCTGAAAAATGGGAAACCTGGTAATCATCCAATGCTGCCTCTACCTAAAAAAGCCCCAAAGATTCTTGTTGCAGGAACTCATGCCGATAACTTGGGTTATCAATGTGGAGGTTGGACAATAGAATGGCAAGGAACCAGCGGAAAAATGACAATTGGTAAGTTCCTTAGATATTTATCTTCTATTCAATTTTTTTTTGAATTGATCAATCCACACATATAAAGAAAATTTATCTGAAAAATAACTTCTGAAATGTCATACAAAAGTACATTCTAGGATAATTCAGAAGAAAACTAAATGATAGATAAGGAAACGCGATAAAATTTGAGAAACAAAAATTTTTGGCTAGTTTGAAATTATTTTTTGCCGAACGGTTTTGTACAATTTGCCCAATGATATTGCTTAATATCATGTTTGCTTAATTTCATCTCCTATATGTTTTTCTGGAGTTGTTAATCCGATCATAAATTGATCGCCAAATGGTTGTGTGAAATCATTCTTTCTTAAGGAAAACTTGTTAACATCTAAATAATAAAATTTTAATGTACCACCAAAGCATATTCTTGTGCTTAAAGCAAATCCTTAAGTCAGTAGAGAACGTAATGACGGAGAATAAAATATAAGTAAGCTATGTCAAACAACAATTTTTTGCTTAGTTTGAAATTTTTTCTCATTGAAGAGTTTGGATCAAGTATCTTACTTAAATTTGCCATTCTGCTTTTTTTTGGCATCAATGTGTTCAAATCCTTAGTTCCATGGAGAACTAATTGATGTAGAATAACATTGTAAGATATGTCATACAACAATTGGTCAGTTAAATTTCATTGAAGAGTTTTTGGCCAAGAACCTCACTGAATATGTAACTTTCCCTTATGCTTTTGTTTGCATTTATTTGTTCATATTAAAATATGGGTTAAGTGTGGCTAACCTCGTAGTATCGCTATTTTGAACTTTTTACCCCACTAGTTTTAATTTCGCAGATAGACCCCCTAAGTAAATTATTTTACCCTCAAGGGCTCTCTGTGTCAAAACGCAAACTTTCTTTGTCTGAGGGTAAAAGAACCCATGGTCTTTCACTGAGGGGTCAGTCTGCCAAAATAAAACTAGGGGGGAACAATGATACTGCGAAGGGGTCTATCCGCAGTTAACCAAAAAAAAATCAGACAATATTTGCCACAAATAGCAAAAGTTAGTACAGTTTGTTTTCTCAGCTACAAGTTTCGCTTACTCAATTCATGCTCCACATACTCATCAACTGTGTGCCTTGTTACAGGAACCACGATCCTCGATGCCATTAAATCAACCGTCACCCCTTCAACCACTGTCGTCTACTCTCAGAACCCTGACGCCAACTTCATCAAGAGCAGCAACTTCTCCCATGCCATTGTCGTAGTTGGAGAAACCCCGTACTCCGAGACCAATGGAGACAGCCTCAACCTCACTATCCCAGAGCCTGGACCGAGCACAATCCAGACGGTCTGTGCTTCTGTCGAGTGTGTCGTTGTTGTAATCTCTGGGAGGCCGGTCGTTATGGAGCCGTACATGAACTCCATCGATGCTCTTGTCGCTGCGTGGCTGCCAGGTTCAGAGGGCCAAGGGGTTACTGACGTGATATTTGGAGATTACGGGTTCAGCGGGAAGCTGTCGAGGACTTGGTTTAGGAGAGCGGATCAGTTGCCCATGAATGTTGGGGATGGGCATTATGATCCTTTGTTCCCATTTGAGTTTGGGTTGACGACGAAGCCTATCGTTTCGATAAATTAGAGGGGGGAGAGGTTGCTTCTTTTCTTGTTGTGCCTCCCCTTCTTCCTCTTCTTTCATGGATGTGTAGTACTAGAGAGGGACTGTGACGGTTTTTTTTTTTTTTTAGGTGTTGGATTGATGAAAGAACGTAGTCATTTTGTTGTTATCACCTCAAGTTGATTGGTCTTTATATAAAAAAAATTCTTTTACATTTGCCCCCTCATTTAGTTAGGATCAGAATACAGTTGTGGCGGTTCTGGACTTCTTGCAGACAAGTTGTGAATTCAAAGCCAGCTGTCATTTTCAAGCGCCCAGATGAAACCTGATAGCATGTCAACAGCTTTCTTCCTTCGCAACCCTTGAAAAATAAAGGAAAAAAAAAGAAAACCAAACTGCTCTCATCTACAAAATAGCCCATCCTACAACTATACCCCCCTAAATCCTATACCACCTATACAATCACAGCAAAAAAATAATAGGGGTGCTGCTACAGGGACCCCAAATAGGAGACCCAAGGGGAGGACATGTGAGGTGCCCCCTTGGGTCCCCTATTTCGGGTCCCTGAGGTATTTTTCAAATAATAGTCTGGTATGACTCTTTCTTTTTGGAAAAACACTACATGCACACCCTCTGCCACACCTCCGGTCACACCCCCTCTCCCTCTACAGTGCAGGGGGCCCCACCTGAGATTTTTAAAAAAATCTCAAGTGGGGCCTCCTGCACTGTAGAGGAAGAGGGGGTGTGACCGGAGGTGTGGCAGATGGTGTGCCTATAGCGTCACCCTTCTTTTTGGACTGGTTAAGGCTATCTCCATTTGGTTACGGTAACCCAACAAAAAAATGGGTAATGGACGTATCTACTGGTAATAAGAAGTACAATATATTATTTTATTTTATTATTCTTCCTAAATTTAAATAAGATGAAAGATAGATTAAGTAAGGTTAATTTAGGGAACCCCCTGAGCTTAACTTTCAGGGTGTGGTACTAAATCCTTTTAACTCTTTTTTTTTATGGATAAATTACACTAAACTTCCAAGAACTTTTAGCATTTTACAGTAAACCCACAATAACTTCCAAAATCGCGCTTAAATCCTCACTATCTTTTGGGTAAATAACACTAAACCCCCCAATAGACTTCCCAAATAGGCAGGCATCAGAACACATCCAACGCGAGGAGCACGGTGACAGAATTATGCATCCGGATTTGGTATTAATTTAAGAGAGGAGACGGGAGTTCCATGCATAATACACGGTGTACGTTGCATTAGAATAACATCAAGGCCTCTGACCTAAAATGGAGATCATAATCGTTAGGATAAATATAATTCTCAAATCATGGACTCCTAAATTTTGATTCTACTGTTGGTTAGCACGATCATACTGACTCAATCTAGGTTCTCAAAGCCACACCTCCTGAAAAATCAACGTTTTAACTCAATTTATATTTTCTTAAAGGAGCAAGAAACATGGAATAACAAAATGTTGGATGTTAATGTATGAGTGGAGAAATATATCTCACACTAGAACTCAAATTATTCTTAGTCATATGAAATTGCATTTTTTTAAAAGAATTTTGAATAACATAGTTGCGTTGTTGCACGTGCGATGCAGGTCGACATACTTTGTGTTGTACTTGCATGCTTTTTATTCATTAAAAAAATGATGAAGTGACTTTCATAACAATATAAAATTTTAAATAGAAAATTAAAGCATTGTGTTAATAAATAAATTTGTAAAATAAAATTGTATATAAAGAATTGAATGAATAATTATTATAATTTGAATAAAACTAATATTTAATCATGCTTAATTTAAATAAGTATAACATATTAAGGAACTATTTAATGTTATACTATATTTTGATTATTATCCTACTTTATAACTATTCTTATTTATAATAACTATGCATAGTACAATAATAATGCCATTGATGAATATTGTATATTATTTTATTTATACTTTTATTTCAGTTAATTTATTATAATTTATACATATTAAATAATTTTAATAGAGCAATTATCATAATTATTCTTATTATTATGTTTCATTATTTTTAAATTTGTATATTAATTTTTTATGCTGGTGGTTTACGAAAGGTTTGCGGAAGTGAGGATGTGCATAATAAGAGGCTATGGATGACGGTTAATGAAAGATTAATAGAATTATGACATAAATGAGAATTATCAAATTTAAAGGACATAAGAGCAGGAAACATTCGATTAAACATGAAACCGAGTCTCCTTGGGCTAACCCTAACAATACCTAGCACGGCTTACATCCCCTGAAAATTAGGGTTCCAACAGAAGTCAACGTTTAAACATTTCCGGTTTTTTTGTGTTCCGATGAATCATGCATGTCCTGTAAAACATCAACGAAATATATTCACTTTAGCCTCAGAAAACATATCACCGAGAGGACAAGTATACACACCCAATGAAATATCAACAAAGCAATACCCAAATACACGAAGAACTGTAGGCAATATTCATTTCGGCCTCGGAAATCAGAACATAAGAGCAGGAAACATTTGCAAGAATGTGAATCTCAACAACACAGACCCGGGGGGAAAAAATTTGAAAACCCATAGATCAGAGATTTTGTTCACCCCGGCGAAAGATCACATTCTTTCATCCACACATGAAAGGAGCAATATCCTGAACGGGGAAATGCAATTAGCAAAAAGATCTTAGAGTTTCTCCTACTAAGAAATTCATACACCATTGGATTTCCAGCACAAATCAAACTCCAATTAAAAAACCCCAAATAGTTGAAGAAAGCTCGAATTCATCAGCATCTCCATTCCTAGGTTTCTTAATTCCAGGGCAATATTTTGGTAACACTTCAAAAAAAAAATTTAATTCAACAAAAATCAAGATGAAATATACAGCTCGTTGTGTGCTTTCTATAACACAATCTGCAAGCTGCTTTCAGGTACAAGTAATCTAATATACATCAAGCCAGCAGCAAACGCATGAAGAGATGTCGGATACCGAAATTGTTGCGGCAGAGCCACTTGGCCAACATCCTGCAAAAGAAAACCGGTGAACTTCTTTGTGTTGTAAACAACTTAGATGAAGGCACCCTAACAGAAAGCAAAGGTTGATATTCAGGTCACTACTGAGCCTGTATAAGATCTAGCATGATACTGATTTTCATGCCATTAGGCCAGAAGGTATGCCTCCATCCAACAATGGGAAAAATAAATCTAATAGGAGATGAAGCCACCGGGTCTAGCATGAAATTTGATGCACACGTCACTATTAGCCATAGTGCATCCCCTAGTAGCTACCAATGCAATCTGCGCCGGTAGACAGTAGGTATGTACTAATAAATGATAGTGATATGTGCATCAAAATTTGTGCTAGGCCATGCATCTTCGTCCCTTATCCCTATTTGATTTTTGTCCATGAGCAATATTTAGTTCAAAGCAAGTAGTTCAAAATTAAAATAATATTTCCTTCTAAATAGATTATGGGGCTGATTGCACATGGATCTCTTATATCGTGTTGTGGCACTTATCACCCTTTTAACTTCAAAATAGACAGATAGACCCTTGAGTGAACTTTTTGAGGTATATCTTCAAAACAGATCTCTTCTCTCCATCTCTCTTTTAGGTTGATATTCAAATCACTATTGAGCCCATACAAGATCCAAGATAACACTGATTTTCCTGCCATTGTTGTGTCCTCAAAGCTAAGCCTAGTTGCCTACATCCAACAATGGGAAAAGAAATCCATTAGGGGATGAAATCACCTGGTCTAGCACGAATCCTGATACACACATCACTATTCGCTATAGTGCATTCACTAGTGGCTACCAATGCATACATCGATAGGCAATAGGATTGCAATAATACGTGACAGTGATATATGCATCAAGATTCATGCTAGACTAGGTGCTTTCATCCCTTACCTTCCTATATGGTTTTCTATAGAGGTACCTCTATAAGATTTTGCCCTTAGTTCAAAACATGTCGATTAAATTTAAATAATACTTTCTTCTAAACTAGATTAAAGGGTTAATTGCACAGATTTCTATATCGTGTTGTGTGGCTTTTCACCCTTTCAACTTCAAAATAAGCGAATAGACTACTTGAGTGAAAATTTTGACTTTTTAACCCTCAGAGTCTATTTCCAAAATGAATCTCTTCTCTCCACGTCCCTCTCAGGTTGATGTTCAGATCATAACTGACCGTAAAAGAGTCAACATAATATTGATTTTCCTGCCATTTTCACCCTTAATCTCCCTATATGATTTTCTATAGAGGGCCTACTATAGGATTTTGCCCATTGAACAAGATATAGTTCAAAGCACATAGTTTAGATTTAAATAATATCTCCTTATAAAAATATATTACAGGGTTGATTGCCCTTAGACCCCTATATTGTGTTGCGCAACTTATCACACCTTTAACTTCAAAATAGGCCGATAGACCCCGTGAGTAAAATTTGACTTTTTTACACTCAAGGCATCTATCTGCAGAAAATATCCCTTCTTTCCATTTCTCTTTCAAATGGATAATCAAAACATTATTGCCTATGTATAAGATCCAGTATAATATTGATTTTTCTTCCCATTATTGTGGGATGAAGCTATGTCTGCATCCAACAATAGCAAAAAGAAATCCGGTAGAGGATGAAGTCATTCGGTCTAGTACAAATCTTGATCCACACATCACAATCAATTACCAACGCAATTTGCATTGATAAAAAGAACTATATTAATATGTGATAGTGATGTGTGCATTAAGATTCATACTACACCAGATTTCATCATTCCTTACCTCCCACATGCTTTTCTATAGAGGGATAGGATCTTGACCATTGAACAAGACGGTTCAAACGCAGTTTAAATTTAAATAATATTTCTTCTAAAGATAGATTATAGGGTTAATTACACACAGACTCTTTGAGTAATTTTTTTTACTATTCACCCTTAAGGGGTCCATGGAATCAGTTCCTGTTAATTGCCTATATATAAGGTTGCTACCCCGCCCTCAAATCTTCACAATACACTCTAGCCTTCTTTGATAATCATAAATCCCAAAAAGATTATCAGCTTCCAACAGATTGAGAAAAAGAGGATCATAGCTTGATTCTCATTCTTTATGAATTTGATGTTGATGATGCTCGGCATGACGATATTCGCAGAGGCATCACCAATTCATTCTTCAAATTCATCTTCATGATCCATAGCATCCATATTAGCTTAAGCCGACGTTGTCAAAAGGGCATGATCTGCATTCTTTCTCATTATCACCATCGGCATCCAAATTGTGATTTTTTGGGGGCAGACAGATCTTTCTAGGGGGAAAAAAGATTCACTGTATCTGCCTATTTTGGAGTTATAAGTGGCATGCTGCAATATAACAGGGTTATATGTGCAACTAACCCAAGATTATATGACCAAAATAATGGATTCTATTACAAAGACGGATCTGCATCCTAATCATCACCGCTGGGAATTTGGCTTTTTTTTTTTTTTTTTGCAGATGACCGCTTGAGGGTAAAAAAGACAAAAAATATTACTCAAGTATTTATCTACCTATATTGAAGTTAAGGGGTAACAAGTGGCACAATGCAATACTAGGAGAATGGGCAATTAACTTTAAATTATAAGACCAAATAATGGATTCTATTACAAATTGAACCAGATTAGAGATACGTACACTTCAAGGAAGGTTCGTGAGACCCGGATCTCCTTAGCAGTAAAACAGAAAGAAGAAAACATGATGTGAATTGTGAGGCAATGGTTTTCCTGAGCTATAGAACTAGCTTCCTTCTGCTTTTGACTGGAGAACCTTCAAACTACATTTTGACAAAGTAATTTTGTGATGCATCATGATATATTGGGGTAAAGTACCCATTCTGATGGCTGCTGGGGTAAGCATTAGAATTGGGAGTTCCTATAAAGGGCATGTGAATCATTAAAGGAAATTGAGACGTTGAATAATGAGCAGCAGAAGCAGAAGAGTAAACTTTCGGGCTCTTTGAAGTAAGCTTTGAATGAGATCTCGAACGGTTTGCTCTCCACTGTCTTCTAGATAAGTCACCAGAATCATCAACCATACAGCCACCCTTCATCCTGGACTTACCACCTGACCTGTTCCATTTCTCCTTAAACTTTTTCTTTTTTGCCCTTTTAAGATCAGTAGGCACTGATCGGAACCCCAAGGAATCTCTATCTTCATCAGTAAGTCTCCTTCTCCTA